GGGGAGGGACATAGAAAGCAACAAAGAAATAATCTTATAAATGTGTTAGAAACAATCGCATGAAAGAAAAAAAACATTAAAATACATAACTAAGGGTTCATTTTCCTAACATCACATTATCTGACCTTTTCCACTTGATTCATACATATACTAGATGTTGCAAATAAGGGAAACCATGGGACCTATGTTTCTTTGGGCCTGGCTTACTTCACTTAACATAGTTTTTTCCAAGTTTTTCCATTTCCTAATAAATGGGGCAATGTCATTCTTTCTGATGGAGGCATAGAATTCCATTGTGTATATATACCACATTTTCTTGATCCATTCATCTACTGAGGGGCATCTGGGTTGGTTCCATATCTTAGCTATGGTAAATAATGCTGCAATAGTTGTGCTGGTAGCTTTAGTGTGGTCTTGTTTGTAAACATTTGGGTAAATGCCCAAAAGTGGGATTGCTGGGTCATAGGGGAGCTCTATGTGGAGTCTTTGCCTTAACCTTCTTGAAAGTCCCTAAGTGCTTATGGTTGTTACATCTCTCTTCCTCAGATACTATCATAATAACTTCTATTGTGTGTTTATCTAGGTTGTTTCAAAAGGAACCCAGTAATGGTTTTACACAGAGAAGTAGTTAACAGCAGCAATAAGAGCTGCTACTTCAAGGAGGTGCTGGGGAAGCTAGAGAACCCTTTCTTGCCTGCAGCAAAATCCCAATTCACACCCTGATGGCATAGCAAGCATTTTTTTGGTCAAAGTGAGAGAGGGAAGGGAGTACTGAAGCTTCTCTGGTTTTGGATGTGCTAGACACTGTGGACATTGCTCCTCTTCAAGGATGAAGTATGGACCATTTGGTATTAAAGTCAAATGGCATGTTCTTGTTCTTGTTGTCAGTCTATAGCCAAAGTTGCCCAAAGTGTATTCTATAGCACATCACTTCCATTGGGTGGTGATAGCAGTTACATGAGAATAAGGAAAGGAAGCCAAATAAGTCTGAGAACCGATGTGCTAAGTAAAGGCAAGTGGCTTCTGTTATGAGTTTCAGAGCATCTTGCTCTATTCTACCAGCTCCCAAATTCTAGGCATTATAGAATGCTCTCTCTCTCTCTCTCTCTCTCTCTCTATATATATATATATATGTGTGTGTGTGTGTGTGTGTGTGTGTGTGTATACATATATATGTATTTATACATATATATACATACATATGTATATATACACACACATATATATGTATATATATATTTACTGCAAATATACTGTACAGAGGGGTTATAGTTACATGAGTAAGGTAATGAGTACATTTCCTATCAAGCATTGTTACCTCCTCCTTTATTTTTCCTCTACAATCCCTTCCCTCCCCACCTCCCCAGTATCTTAAAACAACGGTGTACCTGGAATTTGGGAGTGGCTTGGCTGGTAGTTTTGGCTCAGGATTTCTCATGAGACTACTGATGATGTCATTCAGGGGTGCATTCATCATAGGCTGGACTGGAGATAGAGGATGCAGTGCTAAGGTTGGTGTTGGGAGGAGGCCTCAATTCCTCGCTACGTAGCCCTCTTGTTAGGATTATTTGGGTGTCTTCACAACATGGCAGCTGATTTTTTTCCCCAAGGAGGGTAATAGGAGAAAGAGATAGATACAAAGGCAAAAACAGAAGCATGGAGGAAAAGCATAATAGAATGCTCTAAATACCTTTGTCTGGGAGATTGTTATATAGTATCTTGGGTCAGATTACCTAGACAGAAAGCCTGAGATAAAGATTCTTAGAAAGTGACTTGCTGTGGTCGTGCTCTTCAGGAAAATAAACAAACTAAAGAAGAGGGAAGAAAGGCTGGGAAGGGGAAAGAGCCCAGTCATGATGGAGTTTTGGATTAAAAACCGCCATGGGCCTAATCCACACAGGGAAGATCTGCCACATAAACTACACCACAGTTATTTCCCTTTGAGGCAGGAGACTGGCCTTTATATCCTTTTAGCAAACAGACATTGTGGATTGTTGATGGTGGGTTTGAGAGGTCATTTTTCCTAAGTTGAAGGTAATTCTCTATAGGACACAGCAGCTGTTAGTCCTTCCCTGACAACAGTCAGTACCAGGTAAAGGAGAGTGGGATATCATCACCCCTCTGAGAGCTGGCTTCCTTCTGTTTGTGTCCCAAGCATTTATCATGGTCCCTGGCACATCGGAAGTACAAAATAAGTATCTGCACGATTGAAAAAGGGAATACACACAAATTCTTGGCCTCTCTGGGCTTCCATCCATTTCAGGGAAACCAACTGAGCACAGATCCTTATTGTCTCATCAATCATGGGAATAGGCAAAACCACGGGACAGATCTCCACATGTGAGTGGCAGCACCTTCTAGGACCATATGAAAATAATTTGTCATTTGTGCCAGGAGAGTCTTAATGTTAAAATATCACATATACTTTACTTATATTGCACACATGTGTGCACTCATACACTCACAGACACTTTGGCCTGAGTTTCAGTGATGTGTTTGCTAATAGTACACTTTCCTCACTCCATGTGTTGTTCGACATGGTTGTGCTGCAGTGCATTTCTATACTGCAGATATATTTGTGGGCAAAATGGAAGACATGTCAGTATAATGTGTAAGTCACTTGACTCATAAGTGGGGGGATATTTCTCAGCATTTGATGTTTTGCCTCACTGGCTAATAGAGGCTGAAGTTGGGCAGCCTGGGGGACATAGGGAGCTACATGTGATGTCAACTCACCCTGTGCTCTTTCGCTTGGCTGCTTGCCTGCTCTTTCTTGCATGCTCTGGGGGCATTCTTCACCAGTCTTTGTGCATTTAATCATCAGTTCCATACTACTCAGCAGCTTCGAACCTCCAGATGACGCCTTCCACCACACACCTCTTTTCCTTTTAGTGGAAAGAGGTTTTGTTTAGTAGAGTGTTTCCTTGTTAGGAATTTAACAAAAATTATAGTGTGCTTTTATGGTGATGATTGGTTTTTCTTATTGCTCCAGTTAAAAATCATTTTTATATGTGTGTTCTCAGCACACATTTATTTTATTTATTTTTGAATTTTTATTATCATATACTAGTTACACAAGAGGGGGTTGTTGTAATATTTCCATATATGTATACAGTGTACCCTGATCACATTTATTCCCTGTATCATGTTCCCTCCTTCCTTCTCCCTATTTTTTTTTTTTTGTATGTGTGTCAGTTGTAGGTCTTGAACTCTGGGCCTGGGTGCTGTCCCTCAGCTCTTCAGCTCAAGGCTGGTGCTCTCCCACTTGTGGTTTTCCAATGGTTTATTGGAGATGAATCTCATGGACTTTCCTGCCTGGGCTGGCTTTGAACCGGGATCCTCAGATCTCAGCCTATTGAGTAGCTAGGAATACAGGCATGAGCCACCGGTGCCTGACTCTTCTCCTGACTTTTAAAAATATTTTTGTTATTCTACTTTAACTTTATTTTAAAATCATTTAAAATTGTCTCTAAATAGTTATACAAAGGAGATTCAATGTCAGTATGTCAGCTTATGAGTACAAATGCATCTCGATGTCACCCCTTCCATTGTTCCCCTCCCGCTTTCCTATCCATCCCAACCCCTCCTGTCCCAAGTTTCCTAGTTCCATTTTCACATGCATGCATTGAGTATTGTGACTATATTTGCCCATCATTCCTTTCTCCTTCATCTTCCCCTTCCTTAAGCCCCAACCCCCTCAGACCACATGTGTCTCATTTTCTTCATATTCACACTGTTAAATTATCTGTTAATTTTTCAAAGGTGTTACACTATGGAAACCCACCCCAGCAAATATCATACTTTACTTCACTTTGCTTGTGTATTATATGCATATGGTCCCATATGTAATTTCATCTATTTGTATTTTTTAGATCTAGCTTCCACATATGAAAGAAAACATGTGCCCTTTCTCTCTCTGAGTCTGACTTATTTCACTCAACATAATTTTTTCCAGGTTCATCCATTTCCCTGCAAATGACATAATATTATTCTTCCTAATTTTACCCACTTCTTAAAACAATTTTGGGACTGTTTGGGGGACTGGAAGGGAAGGAGAAGATGGAAAGGGAATGATGGAGGACAAATAATATCAAAATATATTGTGTTTGTGTATGAAGATGGCATGAGACATCTCAGTGAAAGCTGTCAATAAGTAACTGGTTGGGGAGGAATCAGGAAAGAGAAAGCCATAGACAGGGTTATTCTTATCAAAATGTAATATATGCACATCTGCAATACCATGATGAAACCCCTTGGTAGTGAATGGGTGTCAGCAGGAAGCGGTAGAAAGAGGGTAAGGAAGTGTGAATATGATCAAAGTACTTTATATACTTGTATGTAAATAGAACAATCCAGTGAAAATGTTAACTTCTTTTCTAACCTATTTCTCCTTGATAGGTCCTGCTGCTTTTATAGCTTATGTTTTAAAGAAATACATATGTCCAAATATAGAAGAAGTTCTTACGATTCCTTTTCTTTTTTGTGTGTTGGTATTAGAACTTGAACTCAGGGCCTGGTGTTTGTTATGTGGGCACTGAACTATTTGAGCTATATATCTCTATTTCCCCTTTTTTGCTTTAGTTATTTTTCATAGCAGGTCTTATGGTGTTTATTTTATTTATTTATTTTTGCCTGAGATGACTTTGGTCCATGTTTTTCCTGCCTAGCAGGGATTATAGACATGTTCCACTGCATTTGGTTTGTTTGTTGTTTGTTTGCCTTAATTTCTCCACGAACTACATGATCTCTACCTAATTGAGATTAAGGCGTGTGCCACCCATGATTCCTTTTATTAAGGTTAAATGATAGTGGAAAGAGGAGTAGAAGAGAATAAATAGTAGGGTCGACAGAAAATCTTTCTCCAACATTAGTAGACAACCAGGCTTGGCTGCAACTTGGTTTCAATCAGTTTTCCCCAAGTGACTGTTTTTTTAAGTGCTCTTTGCTGCATATTATTGATGGTTTGGCATTTATATCATCTCTTGGATCTTTTGCTTCAGTCCGAACAAGTGTCTGATGCCGAGTTACTTCCACAGATGAACAGAACTCCTTCCCAGGCTGCAGAAAGTAGTCCAGCAAAGAAGGTAAGAGCAGCCTGAGGATGCTGTCTTAGGCACTATGATGCCACTCTTGGGCTTTTTGCCTCTGTTAGCAGATCTATCATTTTTAAGGTTTCCCCTGAAGATAAATGTGACTGACTCACATGTCCCAAAATGTGGGTTTCTTCATGAAGATTAGGATCCTGATATTTCTTGGGCATACTACTTGATGTCACTAGCATACTCCCCATTTGTCTTCTTATTTTCTTCTTCTCTATTTTTATTTTTTCATTTTTATTTTTTATTGTGAAAATATCATACAGAGGGGTTACAATTACGTGGGCAAGATAATGAGTACATTTCTTTTTCTTTTTTTTTTGTCGGCCGTGGGGCCTGAACTCTGGGCCTGGGCGCTGTCCCTCAGCTCTTCAGCTCAAGGCGAGCGCTCTACCACTTGAGCTACAGCGCCACTTCCGGTTTTCTGGTGGTTTATTGGAGATAGGAGTCTCACGGTCTCTCCTGCCCCGGCTGGCTCTGAACCGCGATCCTCAGATCTCAGCCTTATCAAGCATTGTTGCCTCCTCCTTTGTTTCCCCTTCACATCCCTTCCCATCTCCCCCCCACCCCCGCAGTCCCCCTGCCCCCACTCCCACCCACCCCCCTCCTGCCAAAGTTGTAAAGTTAGTTTTTCTTTTTTTTGGGGGTCCGGTCGTGGGGCCTGAACTCTGGGCCTGGGCGCTGTCCCTCAGCTCTTCAGCTCAAGGCGAGCACTCTACCACTTGAGCCACAGCGCCACTTCCAGCTTTTTCTGCTTATGTGGTGCTGAGGAATCGAACCCAGGGCCTCATGTATGCAAGGCAGGCCAAGCACTCTACCACTGAGCCACCTTCCCAGCCCCTAAAGTTAGTTTTCAACATAATGACTTGTACATCTCATTGTTGCAATGGGTCCACCTGTATCCCTATTTAAACGATCTATTTTAAAAGTTATTATATTATCAACCTACAAGTAATTTAGGAAGAACTATAGATTTTTGTCCATTCAAAACGTGGCTTTCTATAGTACCCTCTTATATAACACTCTGATTTCTCAAGGAAGCTTGCTCTGGATTTACAACCTCAGAAGTTGGAATGACTCATATGTTTTGTTTTTTAAAAATTTTATTTATTTTATTGTGAGAATACCATACAGAGGAGTTACAATTACATGAACAAGAAAACGAGTATATTTCTTATCAAGCATTGTTGCCTCCTCTTTGTTTCCCCTTCCCATTCGTCTTCTCTTTTATTCTCTGCCAGGCCCTTCTTGGGAAAGTAGGCCTTGGAGCCAGGTGCCAGTGGCTCACACCTGTAATCCTAGCTACTCAGGAGGCTGAGATGTGAGGATCATGGTTCAAAGCCAGCCCGGGCAGGAAAAGTCTGTGAGACTTTTATCTCCAATAAACCACTAGAGAACCAGAAGTGGCGCTGTGGCTCACGCAGTAGAGTGCTCTCCTTGAGCCTGAAGAGCTGAGGGACAGCGCCCAAGCCCAGAGTTCAAGCCCCATGACCAACAACAACAACAAAAAAAAACAAAAAAGAAAGACACTAGGCCTTGGGCTCAGGAGCATACGAGAGGGCAGTGCCAAATTTGTACTGTACTGTTAGATTCATGGGATCCTGGTAGAGTTAAAATATAAGAAATAATAGATTACTTACAACATTAAAAAAAAGAAAGACCAAAGGAAAGGCTACTGGAATTTGGTTTCTGTGTTCCTTTCTTGATGACCAAAAGAGGCAGGCTTTTATTTATTTATTTATTTATTTTTAAGACAAGAAAGGCAGGCAGGCTGGCTGGCTGCTAGAATCTGATACCTATATCCTTCCAATTCTTAGCCATAGATCTAAGGTTGTGGAGTTTGGATAGAGGAGTCTTCTCATCTTGGGGACAGAGCTAAAGGAATATGGTCACTGGCATGATGTATGGATGGAACGTTTAAAATGTTAACTTTGGGTTTTTTTTTTCATTTTGCTTTTGTTTCTACTTCATAGGATGTTCCATATTCTCAGCCTCCATCAAAGCCTATTCGTAGGAAATTCAGGCCTGAAAATCAATCTACAGAAAATCAAGAGCCTTCCACTGTTGTAGGTGGGCCAGCTCCTGTAACAACTGTGAAGCCCCATCCTACAGTTCAAAAGTAAGTAGATCCAGTAAATAAGAACAAGATGAAACTTCCTCTTACACCTATGCATATCTGTTCTCATACCTACACTCATACCCATGGAAAGGGATCAAAGGCTCCCAGTCACATAGAGAAGGCTTTATAAGCTATTGAGCTTAACCTAACCTAGGCTGTGGCGACTTGGTTTCCTGCCCTTCCCCTCTCCTTTTCCTTCCTACCATTTTTTTTTGTTTTTTTAGTGCCAGAAGATTTTTCTCTAGCAAGAAGAGGAGTCTGTAAGTAGTAGTTTCCCTTCATTTCCTGTTTTATCTCATCTTTTTTTCAGGGCAATGGGTTAGCTCTATGACCATGCGCCCAACTTTTAGTAGAAATAGTATGTGATTTTATTTGAAGGCCCATAAATAGTTCCTGTCATCAATCATGTCAACTCGGAACGGCACAGGCAAAAGGCCCCTAACACCTATCTCACCAACTGGACCGGATACTGAAGGACATGTGGGAGCTTGTGGACTTGGACAGAGGCTGAGGCCACATTGCTATGGACATCCTTGTCTACAAAGTTTTGGGTTTGAGTACAGCCATCGCCTGCCTCAGTTTTTCCATGGTGACATTGAATGAAGCATTACGGGCAGAAGCATGCCACTGCCACTTGCCAGTGAGCCTGCCTGGTTACTAATGTAAATGTTCAAGCTCCATCCTGATGCTTTTGTGGCACCTTTCAGGTTTCAGAGGCTGCGATGAATTTCCTTCTGTTCACACTAGTGTGGGAAGAAAAGCAACAAGTTCTGTGGGTGGTGTCAGAAGCTTGCTTTGAAGCTTAAATTCTGTTTTGAATATTTGCATCCCCAGTCTTCAGATGATTTTTTTCCCGCACATGGGCAGTTCCAGAAAGTTATCAGTATATAAAAGAAGCAGATTTTCGTCCATCACTTCCACTGAGAGCTGGGACCATCTTCCAACCCTATCCATAACAAAGATGTCCAATTCCAATCTCTCCACTTCTTTGCTAATCCCTACCTCTTTTTCAAATTGTTATGGCCACCCTAATGAATGTGAAATGGTATCCCATTATAGTTTCTATGTATTTCTTTAATGACTAATGATGGTGTGTATCTTCTGTATTCTGGTTACAACTCCCTTGTCAGTTACATTTTATGCAGATATATTTTTTCAATCCATGGGTTTTCTTTTCCTAATGTTTGTAGGAAAAAAGTTTCTCATTTTGAGGAAGCCCATTTTGTCTTTTTTTTCTGTCTTTACATGTTATTGCTGTGCTAAGAAAGTATTTCCTTCTCTAAGTTCATGAAGACTGGTTCTTTATTTGTGGGACCAGGGCTCCAACTCAGGGTGTGGTTCTTGCTTGCCTGGCACTATATAACTGAATCATACACCCACCCTCGTTTTTGTGATTGGTCCAGAAGGGGAGGAGTCCCCTGTGTCCGGAACACAGGGACCTTCTGTCTTCCTGTTCTTAACCCCCTTGGGGGATGCATTTATTCATATGGTTGAAGGCAAGTCATTGCCAGCATGTTCATGTTTCAAGCCACAGGAGGAGGTAAGGAAAAAAGGAGAGAAAACAGATTATTGCTAAGGACATAACTCAGAAGCGATACACATCATTTTTCTCTGATTTCATTGTCTCCAAACTTAGTCATCTGAGGACCAAGCGCTCATTATGAGCCTTCTAGGGACATTTTAAACTTCAAACAATAGTGGACACATGTATCTCTATTTTATGTATTATTTACGGAATTTTCAGTGTATTTAGTGGAAAGAATAGAGAGAAATGTGTCAGCTGGTTCCTGGCTGATTGGCTTTTGAAATGGTCTGTTCCCTTCCTTGGAGGAAATAGGTCGCTGGGGGATGAGCTTTTGAAGGATATATCTTATCCCTGGTGCCTTCCTCTTGCTTTCTACTTCCAGTATGCTGTGAGCTGAGCAACTTTCCTTCACCAATACTCCCTGTCGTGATGTTTGAGCCTCTGAAACCATTAGCTAAAATAAATAAATCCCTTCTTTCCTAAGTTTTTTTTTAAATCTCAGGTATTTTGCCACAGTGAAAAAAAGCTAACTCCATCTTAGTGCCAGTGAAAATAATATATAATAAATATTATACATAATATTATATATAGATATACTTGTGTGTGCTTGTACTTGGGGCTTGGTTTCTTTTCTCTCAAGGCCAGCCTTCTAACACTTGAACCACACTTCCACTTCTGCCTTTTGCTCGTGAATGGGAAGATCAGAATCTTGCAGACTTTTCTGCCTGGGCTACCTTCTAACCATGATTCTCAGCCTTCTGGATAACTAGGTTTATATGCATGAGCCACCAGCACTCATCCCTAAGCTATATTCTGAAAAGATGACTTTGACATCTCTCTCTTACCTATATATGTGTGAAACAATAATAGCAGTGAACTTATTGCAGACAATACCTTTCCAAATCAGCATAGTAACTAGCACAGTGTATATTCTCAGCAAGTATTTTCTGTTCAATGATCACAGATGGTTCTAGTTCAGTTGCCCTGGCCTAGTGATTGCAAATATGGTTATTTTTTCCAGGAGAACACAAATCGTCTTTCTTTTTGCTCTAAAATTCAGTATTTTTGTAATGGGATAAGAAATTAGAAGTCATACCTATGGGTAACCATGTTATTTTAGCATTGTACCCACAGACAGTTTTGAAAAATAAAGCATGTTAAGACTTATGGCCAGATAGTGTAAGCAGGGACTGTATGTAATGGGCAAGCAGAATGACATGGTCACCCTACTTATACTGGTTCTGTGAATTTACCATTGATTTAGTTCAGAAATTCGGTATTAAAACATTTCATCTTTCTCAAATGCTGCAGATATATGTTGGTACCAGTACGTGTCTCTGTCTCTCTTTCATTTATGCTCAGTAATAAAGAAATAAGGGAATATAAGGCAATCTTGCCAAATTAATGTAGATTTTTTTCTAAAGAGAATGTTCTATTCTTTTCCTTTAGACTTGTCCACAGAGGCCAGCTGCAGGTCTTTTAAATGCCACTAATGCTTATGCAAAAGGGCATTCAGTTAATAAGGTTTGTCAGAAGAAATGCTTATTAAAATGTCTTGGAATAAATGGAACACAAATGTTTGAAAAGGCCCAATTCACAGCTTTTATTCAAGTTATAAAATGAGAATGACTTCAGGTATAAATAATTCATCTCGACAAATTTGGTATGTGCCTGCCTGCCTGTGAATATGAGATTGTATTTTTGGAACCCTATGATTATTAACCCTTGTTAGTTTAGCACTTCTCATGAGTGAGAGTTCTGACTTGCAAGAGTCCAGACCTCTTAAAATCCTTTTTCGATGAAATATTTGTCCTTTCCCATAGGCAGTCTTCCAAACAGAAGAAGGCAATTCAAACTGCTATCCGTAAAAATAAAGAGGCAAATGCTGTTCTGGCTCGGTTGAACAGTGAACTCCAACAACAACTCAAGGTAAGGAATGCCTCCCAGATTTGGATTACCAGGCCTTTCCCTGCTAGTCCTTGCTTCTTTGCTTTGGCTTTGTTTGGACCGTAATCTAGCACGAGCTCATCTTGATTACATTTGCAAGGCTCCTATTTGTATAGAAGTCACATTTAAAGGTACTAGGGTTTAGGACCGAAACACATTTTTTGGTGAGACATGATTCTCTGCTGGATAATTCTTTATTCACACATAAACATGTTCCAGTATTATCCATTTCCCTTGACAAGGTATCCATTTCTCCTGTCCTCTTCACAGTGCAGCTTTTTCAGAATTGTTTTCATTCACTGTCTATTTCTTCACCAATGGCTTTCCCCCTCTCTACTCAGGGTGGTTTTCCTCTCTTCTCACATTCCTCTTTTGGTCAAATCCAAAGGGCTTTTTGTAACATCTGAATTTTCAAAAGCATCTATATAAGTGAAGATTCTTTCCTCTGAAATCACTGTTTTTGTTGTTTTGTTTTTGAGACAAGATGTCCTTACATAGACTAGTCTCACCTAAAACTCTGATCCTCCTGCTTCAGCTTCCCAAGTGCTGAGATTAAATGCATGAACCACCATGCCTGGATTGAGACCTTTTCCATCTCTACCTGAAGCCTCTGTACTGTATTCTATAGCGTTGTATAAACTTATATGAAGTTCTATAGTTTCATGGCTTTGAAGATCATCTATACTCTAGTTAAACCTGAATTTATGTTTCAAGCTGTGCTTACTCTTTGAACCACGATCCTCAGATCTCAGCCTCCTGAGTAGCTAGGAATACAGGCATACACCACTGGCATCTGGCCCACTTTCTTAAAGTGCAAACCAGAGAAGTCCTCCTTAAATTTTCCTTTCTGACCAGCTTAACTTCATCAGCAAGACCTATCAGTTATAGATTCCTGGTGGCCAGGAATTAAAGAAAGACAGGAAGATGCCAGAATCACCGTGAGAGCATGTTCCCAGTGACCTCATTTCCTTCACTTAGGCCTCACTCTCTAAAGTCTCCCAGTAGCACCAACAGCTGGGTTCCAAGGGGGATAAGCCTTTGGGGGATATTCCAGATCCGGGCTCTAACAGAAACCCTCAGTGCTATCCCTCAACACTTGGAGTGCAGTCTGCCAAGGTCCTATGAGATATGGCTTCTCCTTAACTCTCTGGCTTCATCTCGTGCCAATATGTTCCTTGTTCCCTCTGCTCTGGTAACGTGGAGCATTTTGTTCTTCAAACTTACCCAAACCATTTAGTGCCCCCTTTCAGCTGCCATTATATCGCATTTGCCCATCCTTCTCCATATCTTGATGTCATTCCTCTCCTTTCGAGTCTCTGCTTAAGTAATATCACCTCTGAGAAGTTTCCCTGGTCACTCTCTGCTTTCTCCGACATTTACCATCTGTTATACAATCCCATCACTCATTTCCTCCCGAAAGTATCTTGCTCATTCATTTGATTGTCTCCCTTCAGATATTGGAATATAAGCCCTATGAGGTCCTTGTTATTTGCAGAAACCATTATAGCTAGGGAAGTATCTGGCTCATAACAGATAGATCCTAAGACAATTTGACGACTTGGTACGAGTGCAAATGAACAAGCATGTTCTGTTTGTCTGACTGCTGACTACCAATGTGTTGATTCTTCTGGAGCAGCTCAGTATCAAACCTTTATAACAATTCTTTCCTCACCTTGACTAATTGTAGTTAAGGATGTTTTCTTTTCCTGAATAAAATGAGAGTTTATTTGGTAGTGAAAGGAAAGCTGTGAGAAGAAAATAGCAGTAACTTTCCATCTGGAGACAGGACAAAAGAGGAGCCCAAAGAATGTCTTTCTGTATCTCTGCAAAAAATATTTTTTAGGCCTGAAAGTTTGATTTCTCAAATAGGAAACTGGTGACTCCTCTCCTCTGTCTGTCTCCAAAGGTCCCACATTAAACCACGTACAGGAGCCTGGGCAAGACTTTGGTGGAGGGATGTGATGTTGGATTAAAAGCCAGAAATTGTGACTAGAAAGTTAGTTCCAGTGGCTTACCATTCAGTTTTGGGAGTATACTTTTACTTTTGATCTCCCCCAATCAATCTTTTATTTTTATTTTTTTAGTTGTTTTTATTATTTTACTGACTTGAACTCAGGGCCTTGCCCCCTGGCTTAGCTATTTTGTTTTGTTTTTTGTTCAAGGCTAGTGCTCTACCACTTGAATCATGCCTCCAATTCAGGATATTTTTCTGGTTAATTGGACCTATGAGTGTAACAAATTTGTCCTCCCAGTTTGGCTCCAAACCACAATTTTCAGTTCTCCTCCTCCTGAGTAGCTAGGGTTATAGGTGTGAACCACTCATTTCTGGCCTGCCTTTTAATTTTTAATGTCATTCTCTGCTAGCTGCAAATCCTGTTAAAATAGGGCAAGACTAAGGTTGAGTTATGGAAGAGATTTTTAATTGATTTCATCATCTTCAAACAGGAATTCATAGATTATAAATTGTGAAGCCCTCTGGTCTCATTACCAGCTTTGACTACCATGCCTTCCAGTCCACATGTGCTTGAGAACAGTATTCAATGTTTGTGGGTCCACTTGTAAGTTTCCCTTGACTATCTAAGTGAACTAGAGCTGAACCCAAGAAATGACATCCTTGCTTTCTGGTTTTTCCTCTCCCTGTTTTGTGCAACACAGGAGGTTCATCAAGAACGGATTGCATTGGAAAACCAATTGGAACAACTTCGTCCAGTCACTGTGTTGTGACTGCCCCAAAGTTCAAGTGACGGCGTGTGACCTTGTCTGCCAAGATATTTCTTTTGAATGTTTGAGCCAGCCATTTATCATAGATGTCAGACTGTGTCAAAAGTTGTAAGCAGCATAACATAATCTCTGTCACCTTTTCTCTTCTGCATTTTACTATGGTGGAAAAAAAATCCCAAGTATCACACTTAAAATTGTAATTATCAGTAGACTTTATCTCCCATTCTTAAGTGCTTCATCAAGGCATTGGATGCTGATCCTTACCAAAAATCCATCTTCTAGCAAATAATTTAGAACATGATTTATTTAAAGGATTTATGATTTTTACAAAACCTGATAACCAAGTACCTTCAGGATGCTAGTTTTATTTTTGTATGCATATCACACACAGTAGGTTGGTTTACTACAATTGTTATTCCAACTGGATAATCTTTGGCATGATAACAAAACCAAAAACTAAAAGAAAATGAAAGCATCAAATTTAGACTGGCGCTGTGCCCTCCACCACTACATGCCAAAAAATTGTTTCTCTAGTGCCATTTTGATCTCATATCTAGCTATAAATAATACATGACTATTGTTCTGTAGTGAATGTCAAAGACTTATTGGATCTTTACACCTCTGTGAAGTAGAGATTTTGGCAACAAGCTATTTAACTTGTCCAATCTAAGCCATCAACCCAGAAAACACAGTCCTTTCATGTAAATTTTGAGCAAGAGCAATCTACCTTAACTGCCTCATCTGATCAACTTAAACAAATACTTGCCATATGTCTACTTTTATCTTGCATGGGATAGCATAGTTATAGATGCATGAGTTTACAAATCATCCATCAATATGAAAAGCTGGGTTGATAAATATATGTTGTTTGAACCCAGGTATCCAGAGTAGAAAGGAAAAGGGAATATTTGCCAACAATCTCTGGTAGTTATTTTCATCTTAATTTTATCTTAAAGTATGAATGAAGGCAAGTGATCCTCACATTAGCTTTATGACTTTTGTTCTCTGTGGGAAGTAAGTGGCTTATGTACGCAGGAGCTCACCTAACTGCTGTAGGTGATGTAAAGCAGTTCCAAATGCAGAATCTAGTATTCTATAGAAATTTAAGTAGCTGCTGCTGCTTTTGAAAGCCCAAGCTGAAAATGGGAATTGACTGGCTCTACCAGGTTACAGAATTATGGGTCACTCAGCCTCATCTGGCATGCCAAATTTAACATTGCATTGTGAGGCTTACAGCAAGACAAACTAACTGTGGTACATTTGGCTAATTTACCTATTCTTTGCATAGTGGGATGGAGTATAGTTAGGGTCCTTTGTGAAATGATTTTGAATGTTTTTACAAGATGTGAGATTAAACTATTGATAAGAGCTGAGAACTTTTGGAAAAAGCAGAAATGTATTTAATGCTTCCTTATTCCACTGGAAAGTTCTATCAATAGCTGAACAACAGAAGAAAAAGGCTCAAGCAGATGATGTTTTTCCAAAGAAAAACAAATTGTTGAATCTATTCCATGCATATTTAAGGGTTTCAACTGATCTGATTTTGAAAGTCATGAAATTTGAACCTTCTTTATTTCCTTTTCTTTTCTTCTTTGGCTGCCTTTTATTTTGTTGTGGAGAAAGATTAGGAGTGAATTTAAACCCTTACAGAGATTATGAATGGGTCAATACATTTTTAGGAGAGCTCTTTTTACTTTTGCTGAGATCTAGGGGCTGTAACACATTTTTTATCAACGGTGTTCTTATTGCAGATGTTTTGCTTTTGTTATATTCAGTCAGAAAAGACTAACATATGCACAGAATCTTCCAGTATGTGTGCATTTACTCTGGATAGCACTTCATATCTACCAACCAGACATATGACCTAAGGAATGTTAGTCCATACTATGCATTTAAAAATATTAACATGCTATTTCCCCTGTGAAGTTGATGTCAGAGTGAGCCAAGTTTGGAGGTTGGAGTTTTGTTTAGTTGGCTTCATTTGCATTAAAAGAAAAATCTTGCCATGGACACAAAGCCCTCTAGGTTTTATAGTCTCACCAAAAATTTTGTGTGCATGTGGTTTTGGCTATACATCATGCATGCAAGTGCTATAATACTTACCCCCATTGTCAGCTCATTGCCAATATTTAAGATAGGCATTGCATTCAAGAACACATCAATACTACATGTGCCTAGCATTCTTAGTTGGACCTAATGTTGGCCCGTTGTTTCCCAGTAGATATTTTAGAAAGGAGATATTTGTGTATGTATATACTCAGAGACACATACACCTTACAAATAGAGTTACCTTACTCTAGTACTCATCCTCTCTTTCTGTTTTCTTAGGATGTGCACTTTTAATTTAGGATTATAATGCCTGATAATGTCTCTGTGTACTTTTCATGTGATTTATTGAAAGGCTGGTGCATTGAAATCACCATTTTACCTCTTTTGAAAAACTTCTCCAAGATTAGACTTTCTTATTAGGCAGAAATCCATTGATAGAAGGGTTTATACTGTCCCCACTCATGGGGGTTTAATTACTTTGTTATGCAGTGGTCTTTCCTTGAAAGGATCCTCCAGTCCCACAGATGAGAACATAATAGGAGGTAATAGTGGGCTTTAATGGTCCTTTGGTTTCTCTCCCCTGCCTCTTTCCCCTCTTCTCTATCTCTCACTAACTTGCATTAATATACAGAGGGGGTTTTCATTGTTACATTATGCACATGTTTACAATATAGTCCAAATAGTCTCAACTTCAGCATCTCTTATACATGCTCTTGGTCACTTTCTATTTGCAGACATGAAACAAAACCAAATAGTAGATAACCCGGAATGGATGTGTTATGCCATAATCAAGGCAGATGATTGCCTTAGTTGAAAGGATCTAATTACTCTACAGATATTACTAGTGCTTGGAGACTAATTGGGAGAGGAGTCAGCTTAGCTGGAGGGCGTGCCTATCTTCTTAGCCCTAGAGATGTCAGAGCTGGGCAGGACTGCGCTCATCTCCTATCATTTGCATGTGGGGAAAGCTCCTGACCCAAGAATTCATGGAGCTGGGATGTCAGCCTGATTTCTTCTACCAAAACTAAAATTAGATTAGGAGGTTTTTAAATATTTGCCATTGAGTTTTATTGACTCTATTCGTCTGTAAATATGAAGACATGTTTTAAAGAGATTTAGATCTAGACATTTCTCTTGGAGTGAAGTAAAATAATAAAATCTTAAGGAAAAGAATATTACTGAACCATTTTTTTCCTGAACACTTTAGCTATCATGGTGCAATGTTACTGTACATTTCTTGGCAGCACTTTTGACAGCTGTTTCTTTGAACAGATTCCATTCCCATAGTCCTTATGGGAGCTTGTTTTAAAGACTACTGTGATTGAAATGAACTCAATATGTAGTAAGTTATAGCTTTTCTTCAATATATCGTTGGTTGCTTTGGTTGCAAATGTTTAATTTCAACATATTGTTAAGGTGAGTAATCAAAAGCATGGATTTTCTTTCTTTCTTTCTTTTTTACCAATAACTGAACTATCACAAAACTTTTTCTATTTAGATGTGATTTAATTTCATGTTTCTTGAGTGATCTCACAGCCATGGTAATAATAGATTTTTAAGTAGACTATTGATAAGATAATGTCTGAAACTGATGTATTTCTTGAAAGATATTTGCATATGTCTTCTTCTAAGCAATAATTGGGAAAAGCTCAGTTACATTATTAACACCTTAGAATTAAAACCATTTGTTCAACACAAACTACAAAAACTACTTCTTATCATCAAGGAGATGTGATTTTTAAATATATGTATTTAAACAAGAATTTAACATCTTGTAATAACCAGATCCTTCCATGTTATTGACAAGAAGGCCCATTACATTGTGGTTGGAACATTATGAATGTGAACAAAATAATCACAGTTAAGGAGGTCTTCCTTCCTTCCCATTAAATTAAATAGAACACTAGTGATTTTTTTTTTTTTGGTCGGTCGTGGGGCTTGAACTCTGGGCCTGGGCGCTGTCCCTCAGCTCTTCAGCTCAAGGCAAGCACTCTACCACTTGAGCTATAGTGCCACTTCCGGTTTTCTTGTGGTTTATTGGAGATAGGAGTTTCACGGTTTCTCCTGCTCAGGCTGGCTTTGAACCGCGATCCTCAGATCTCAGCCTCCTGAGTAGCTAGGATTACAGGCGTGAGCCACCAGCGCCCGGCACACTAGTGATTTTGATTTTGATTTCTCTTACTAGTTTGCTTTGTTTAACGTGTGCTCTTTAAAAGTTCTGATTTCAAAGGATCAGTTATGGGTGCTTTGTCAGGGAATTTTGCATCATTTTGCAGTGTGGTCCAGGTTCCTAGTAAGAAGTGAGGATTTGGGTTTGTAGCATCTTCAGTCCACATATCTTGCTTTTCTTTCAGCACAGGCGAAGGGAGGCTGCCCACTAACACTGACAGATTAGTCACTGATGGCAATTTGGATGAGTACTTCTCTGTGGGCCGCCCTGCTTTGTTTGTTTGATGAGAAATGGATCTAGGTCTGTGGATATGCCAAGAGCAGCAGGCGTGGAGAGCCAGGCTTTAAGAGCAATGCAAGCAGATCCTAAGGGCACCTGCCTAGCCCCAAACAGACTTTCAAAAGCTGTCATTCAAGTATGGTGCAAGGCAGACATTTTGTTAGTGCAAGCAAGACAGCACAGGTCTAAAGTGGCTTTTAGGATAGTGTGATTCTTTTCTGAATTTAGTAAACACTAACTGATGGTAAAGGAACCTTCTCTGGGAAGCACTACAGGGTTTCAGTTTATAGGCCTTGTTCTGGTTACAGAAGCTTAGCTTTGCCCTCAACAATTGGAGAATGCTTATTGTTTTTTACATCTTGTGAATTGTCCGATCTTGCTTCAAGCTAATTCCATGGTGGTGGGAGGTTGAATAAAGTAGGTTTATGACTCTGAAGAGCACAGAAGAGCATACTTCAAGAGGACTGAACTTGGAATTTGGAAACTAAAATAAGGAGACCTTCAGGTGCCAGTTCCATAGCACTCTTTTGGATAATAGACTAAGACCTTAAAGCTCCTTTAGGGATCTCTGCTCAGAGACAGGTACTTAACACAATATCCCAATTGCATGCAGCTTACATCAACAAAAGTGTGTTATTTTTATTGTCAACTTATATGACAGCTTCAAATGCACCCAGCTTGGGAGCCAAGAATATCCTCTTCTTTAGCACTGCCGTTCTTTTTGGCTCAAATATGATAGTGAGCCAGATATGAAAAGAGCCATTTTAGTCTTCATAGGTATTGGCCAAAAGTGATACTGAGCTGTCTATTTTAACCTTGATAGTAAAAATGTATATTATATTTTTTCACTACAGGTACATGGTAAAAAGTACTACAGGTACAGTAAAAAGTGTAACAGCAAAGTATATATTTGATGCCTTCTGTCTTTTCATGATAATGTGCTAACAAGTTGTGTTAATATTTTACTCAGCCAGAATCTCATGTGTTTGTTAAGCATTAGGAACATTATGCATATTTACCTTCAACCTAAATAAATCCCCGAGACTGTTCTATATTTGAATTGTGATTTGTAGACTCAAGTTAATTTTCCTGCCTCTGTTTCACACTTGTTGAAATATCTGCGAAGAAGATAGTAAGAAGAATTTCCAATGGGGAAAAATGTACATGTTGTGAAACGGGGGTGCTGTGTTAAAAATAAATGTACGTTACCTAAGCGGCTTTTATGGTGTCTTGGTGTCAATATTTTGTGGTTTGTACTTGGTCTTTTGTGCACTTGATGTAGGCAACATGGAAATGAATTGAGAGTCTTTCCAATGAAGTCAAAGTCTAAGTTTTTTTTCACCTTGTGATGATCTGAGTTAGGTTCTTCAATATCTGCACACAGTAAACACTTGTCAGTCACAGGATAGCATAGAGAACTCACTGTGGATTTTTAAAGGTCCATTAAATTGAAAATGTGGCTTAATGTGAGGCAGCTTATGTGTTTTATTAAAAATGTGCCCAAAGTGGGTATGATGATATAAGCCTATAATCTCAGCTCCAGGAAGCTGAAGCAATAGATTGAATACTACATAATGAGTTCAAGGCTCCTTTGGGCTAATGAGACCATATATCACTACAAAAACGAACAAAATGAGAATGTCCCCATTATGGTGTCCTTATCTAGTATGGGGTGATAAGGATAAGGGACACTTGTCACAAAAATCCTCACCTAGTAATCTTATGTCCCAGTTGTATGTTTTACCTTTAAAATTTGTAAACAAATGAGGAGGAAACAATGCTTGAAAAAAAATTGTATAATTTTAGGAGTCTCCAGTCTCCTATTGGATAGATTGTCTGCTGTGTTACAATGTCCATCTGTTATGGTTTATAGATGAAGTGTTCCCCAAAAGGCTCATGGATTAAAGGATTGATCTCCAGCTGATGATGCTATCTTAGGAGGTTCCAGAAACTTTATGAGGTGATGCCTCACTAGAGAA